AATTATGCTATGTAGCAAGTTTGAGCTGATTCCGACAAATATTTTTTGAGTTACGGTCATTTTAAGAAAACTCCAAAATTCTGAAAAATACCCAAGGCTATAGCCTATGGTTTTTTCTAAAAAATGGCTCCAAAATCACCTCAAATTTTTATTACATTTTCTGATGCATATTGATGTAATTATGCTATGTAGAAAGTTAAAGCTGTTTTCGACAAATATTTTTCAAGTTATTAGCATTTTAAAAAATGAACCAAATTTGAAAAATACCTAAGGCTATATAACTTAAATTTTCTAAAAATGGCTCCAAAATCACCTTAAATTTTCATTACATTTTCTGGTACATGTACATTATTGATACTGACCTCACTAGCTTTGCATAAAATGGTCCAGTCCTCTTTAGAAAAACCGCACATAACACTAGCAATAACAATCTAAAAATAGAACAAAAGTGTTACTAAAAATAGAAACAAAGTCCCATACCTTATTAGGAAAGTCTCTCTTCAATTCCCTGATGGATTGGAGCCAGTATGCACAGGTCTTTTCACTCACCAGTTCTATGTTGAGATATGCATTCTGTCCAGGACCAAACAAATGACCACTAGTGGTACCACGGACAATACGAGGAGACACATTAGTTATAATATCCTAATAATATACCAATAATATACTAATAGTATCCTCGAATCAATATATATATATATATATATACATGTATTTCAAAAATCATTCTGATACTGATATCTTTATGTACATGTAACAAAAATACTAGAAAACTAACAAATATTCTTAAAAGCCACACTCTGATAATATACTGATAATATACTGATAGTATACTGACCTTATCAAGTGTGTAAGTTTTTGTGACGGCAAATGCCCAGCCGGCCTCAAAGGCTCGACGTATCATGGCACTAGAAGTAGTGGGAGTGGCAGACGCCAAACCGAAAGGATTTTCAAACTTGAGGCCAGCAAATTCAATAGATACATCAACGGAATCAATAGGAGTGAAGAACTGAGGAAGATTAGGCTCAGTTGGAATATAAAGACCATGGAGAGACTAAAAAAAATAACATATATACCATATAGCGGGTAATTTTGACAGGGATAAATTTGGGCAGATTTGGCATTTTGATAGCCATTTGTCTAATTAAAATCAGACATTTCGTACCCTGTTAATCACCAAAATTTTAGCAACTTGCTAAAACTTTTCCCCTCCAAAATTACCTGCTATATGGTACTAAATAAAAATACAGTACATTATGTACTTTTGATATTAATAATATGATAATTTAGCAAAAATAATAAGAAAAAAGATTTACATGTACTGTACAAGTAAATCAAATACATTGTAATTACGAAGTACCTGTAGATAGCAGTGCATGTACC